GGAAGGATGGAAGGCTGAGTCAACCTTGAGCCGGTGAGATTTGAACCGCCGAACTGCAGCTAACAGTCAGCTGAAGTGGCTACAGTACTGCACTCTAGCCACTGCGCCACCTCGGCTCGGAAAATGGAGCTAGATGGCCACGCCCCCTGGCCACACACCCCCAGGATCAAACACAACCCTGAGGTGGCCCTCAATGAAATCGAGTTTGACATCCCTGATCTAAAGGAACCAATTGTTTCGTGGTTGTTGTAGGATATTTTACAATTCCGTTGGATGCTCACCTTTTCGAATGCAGTCCATTGGCAACACTGGATTTGTACAGAGTGACCCCCTTCTCTTGCGATATTACGATTGGTCCTCCCAGCTCGTCCAAGATCACACCAGCATGGACAGCTGCTTTGCAAAGAACAGATGTCTGGAGGGCAATAATTAAAAGGGGACGATTGTGACAAATCTCCAGGCAACAGAAATCAAGTGGAAAAAGTGCCATGGGAACAATTCTGCTCTTCATTACACTTTCTTAGGCTGAGTTCATTCACATTGGTGAAAGAGCTGAAGGGTTGATCAGAGCAACCGATTCGGCCTACGGAATGGATTGGCCAGATTCCAAGCTGCCACCCGAGAGAAATAGAAACATAAAAATAATAATACCAACCATTAAATAGGTTTTGTGTGGCATTATTATATATTTTGCTGCTCTTTAAATGCTGTTTTTTTGCTATAATTTTTGCAGACTTTGGTTGGTTTTCCCCCCTCCTTGCCTTGAATCATGATGTTTTTCTAATCTTTCCTTAAAAGGTGGGCCATAAAAATATTTATTCTTAATTAGAAATATAATTAGGCTGCTTTTAATGACTCTGATCTCACACAGTGGCTTCCAATGTATAAAAATAGCATTAACCAAAAATAGCATTAACCATATTCAAACATCTTGAACTAGAATAAAGCATCTTTAAAAGGAGTGTAATGTCAAGTAAATATAATCCCAGGCAATTGAAATAAATTTTAAAATAACAGTAGTTGATAATTGTGGTAAGAGAAAGTTACTTGAAATGAAAAGTATTTAGAACTGATTTGAAGAAAGAATTTATGAGATATGCAAATCTTTTTTGGGTTAGGATTTTGCAAATATAGGCCTCACTGAAACAATCCTATTCTTTATTAGATTTTCTGCAGTGGTTTATTGGCCATATCTATTAAATGTTTTCCTAACAAATAGATGGGGAAGAAATGGAGGTAGTGACAGATTTTATTTTCCTGGGTTCCATGATCACCACAGATGGGGACTACAGCCAAGTAATTAGAAGAGGAGAGGAAAACTATGGCAAATCTAGACAGCATGTTAAAAAGCTGAGACATCATCCAGCCAACAAAAGTGTGTATAGTCAAGGTTATGGTTTTCCCAGTTGCAATGTACGGCAGTGAAAGTTGGACCATAAGAAAGGCTGAGCGCCAAAGAATGGAGGCCTTTGAACTCTGGTGCTGGAGAAGACTCCTGTGAGTCCCTTGGACTGNATCCAAGGCTCAGTCATTACCTGGGGACCAACTAGTCTCTCTGCGCCCTGCTCGGAGTCAGAACCCTGTCCAAGGTCCTCCGCAGCCTCCAGGGCTGGCTCATAGGGCCCCTCGCTGTCAGAGTCTGATAGCAGCTCCAAAGCTGCCGAGCCACAACAGCCACCCTTGCCTTTGTACTCCAGATGTGTTAAACTAAAGGTAAGGGTTCCCCTCGCACATATGTGCTAGTCGTTCCTGACTCTAGGGGGCAGTGCTCATCTCCGTTTCAAAGATGAAGTGCCAACACTGTCCGTCAATGTCTCCTTGGTCATATGGCCGGCATGACTAAATGCCAAAGGCGCACGGAATCCTGTTACCTTCCCACCAAAGGTGGTTCCTATTTTTCTACTTGCATTTTTTACGTGCTTTTGAACTGCTCGGTTGGCAGAAGCTGGGACAAGTAACGGGAGCTCACTCAGTTATGTGGCGCTAGGGATTCGAATCCCACCACTGACAGGAAGGCCTGGAGGAGTGTTGTCCATGGGGGTCACGATGGGTCGGACATGACTTCGCAACTAACAACAACCTGAAAGGCAGACTGGTTGCAATAGCTTTTTCTGCAGTCCTAACTATCTGTTGAAGTTGGTTCCTTCCCTGCTTGGTTGCTGTACTAAACCAGACAGTTATAGAAGTAAAAAATGACAGACTCAATAATCTCACAAATGAAGGCAACCGATTTCAATAGCCAATAGTGGTAATCAATATTTTCCAGCCTTAGTAAACGCAGTCGCTCATTTTAATCCACCTCACCTTTTCCTCTTTGGTGCTGCTGGATTTGTAGATCTTCCAGTTCTTGCCATCTCTGCTGAACTGAACCTGGTAGGATTTGACGTAGTAGTTGTATTTAGGGGAAGACCCCTTGGTGACAATTCCTAGAATAGAGGTGGTTAAAATTTGTACCTAAGCCAAGGGTCAGCAGCTCGTGGCTCTGGAGCCACATGTGGCTCTTTCATCCCTCTGCTGTGGCTCCCTGTCGCCAGTCAACTCCACAATTGATAGGGCTTTCAGTTAGGTCAGGAAGAGGAGAAAGGATGCCGCGCTAGGAGGAGACTCTATGGTGGGGAAACCAGACTTCCAGTCGATAAAAGGACTCTGCACTAGGAGGAGACTCTATGGTGGGGAAACCGGACTTCCAGTCGATAAAAGGACACTGCACTAGGAGGAGACTCTATGGTGGGGAAACCGGACTTTCAGTCGATAAAAGGACGCTGCGCTAGGAAGAGACTCTATGATGGGGAAACCGGACTTCCAGTCGATAAAAGGACGCTGCGCTAGGAAGAGACTCTATGATGGGGAAACCGGACTTCCAGTCGATAAAAGGACGCTGCGCTAGGAAGAGACTCTATGATGGGGAAACCGGACTTCTAGTCAATAAAAGGACACTGCGCTAGGAA